ACATAATGTCAATTCCCCCTGCAAGATCTTCAGTGAAGTCACAGGCTAAATATTATGCAAGAAAATCCTCCAGGATTTGGGGGCCTATCAAAGAAGGATGACTCACCTTCTAAGATCCACTTCAGAGATGAAGATAATGTTCAAAATAACAGATTTGAGAATGAAAGAGAAAAGTAGAAGTCTGCTGATTTTTAAAATGGTGCTTAAAACATTAGAATTCATAACTTATTTGAATAGGTGATTTTTTTTGAATAGGTGATATTAATGATGCCCTTGCAAGTTGTTCAACCCTGTATTTCTACCTGATACCAGTCCCAGTAAAGCAACCAAGCATTTAATTCCTGAATTTGTATATGAGTCAAAAGAATAATCAATCTTGTTATAATACCCAAAATTTGATTCCACAAGAGAGAGAACATTTTTGTGTTAAAGAATAGGAACTAAAAACACCCTTATGATATAATATAATTATGTATTAGGAAAAAAAAGGGAAAAAAACATTGCTCTGGAATTTGATGCCAAGGTTCCCATATACCACCTTTAATAAAATGGCAACAGGGGTACCTGAGTGGCTCAGTCAGTTAGGCATCTGCCTTCAGCTCAGGTCATAATCCCACACTGGGCTTCCTTGTTTGTTGGAAGCCTGCTTCTCCCTCTCCCTTTGCTGCCCCCCACTGCTTGTGCTTGCTCTTACTCTTTCTCTATCAAATAAATTAATAAAATCTTTTTTTAAGTGGCAACAAAGGCACTCCAGAGGATCAGAAAGGAGATACCATGAATATTACAACCAATAGAATTTTCCTGGTACTCATATAATAAGGAACTGAAATCTGCACACTTTCAACTATGAGAAAACAGGTGCTGAGACCTACCCAGCAGATTGAAAAACGGACTTGGTCTGCCACTCGCAGCATAGAGATATTACTATTCATGATCTATGTCTAGAGCCTATTTTTCTTTTAAACAATTGGACTGTATAGGTTATAGACGGAAGGCAAATTGTGCCCATGAAACAAATGAAGAAGAGCACAAGAAATATGAAAGTTCACTTCCCAAGGCACTCAGCCAACAAGCTTGCCTTTCTATTCAAATATAGCAAGGTTACAGAGAAAGAGGGGAAGTGAATAAAAGAACAATTGGAGTAGCTTTTGTTTTCTTAAATAACAAAACCTAGTATTGTGTAAAAAAGAAAAAAAGAAAGAATGTAGGGTTGTTGTTTTTTTTTCAACAGAGATAATCAATTAAAATCCTTAAGTCATGAGGCAAGTTGATGTTTTCTTCTGAAATATTGGACTTTTAGATTCAGAAACTATAATATAAAGATCAAGCTTTCAGAAATCAGGAAATTCCAAAGCAAGCCTACAGCAGTGCTTACTTGGATACATTACACATGGTACATATTTTACGGTCCATGTTTGACAAATAGCTGGGAGATGAAAAAAAATTCCACACATTCAGCATGGCAGAGTAAGGTCTACAGCAGAAAGGGGAAGTCTGGGCATTACTCTGAGAATTAATATTCTGTTAATCTAATTTTAGCAATTTGTTTTCTTTTTTTTTTAATTTTAAGAAAAGTTATCCCAACCTTTTTAAAAGATTTTATTTATTTATTCATGAGAGAAACAGAGAGAGAGAGAAAGAGAGACAGAGACACAGGCCGAGGGAGAAGCAGGCTCCATGCAGGGAGCCCAATGTGGAACTCAATCCCAGATCCCGGGATCACGCCCTGAGCTAAAGGCAGACGCTCAACCGCTGAGCTACCCAGGGATCCCAAAAATGTCATCCCAATTGAAAAAAATATATGTGTGTGTGAAATGCTATGTCCATCAACATCCTATAAATCTGAGAGGTGGATCCCCTCTTTTGGCAACTCTCTAAATATCTCATGAAATAAATGCTTATTTTCCTCAACTCCAGACCTTAATTTTCTATCTTTGGAACTTAAAAATACTTACATAATTGTCTTCAAATATGGCTTGACTTTTCTTCTTTGATGGAAACAGCATTCCTGCCAACTTTAAAATTTATAGCTACAACCATATTTTTTTAATTTTTAAAAGCACAAAAAAATACCACAATCCCTTAAGTGATTTTGAAATGAACATTTCTTCATATTTATAATTGTCCCATGTCACACTGAAATGTACTCCAACTCAGCATACAAATGGAAAGAACATTCACCTCTGAGTCGTGTTTAGAGATAATATCAGCAACTAAAAAAATTTTCCAGTGGCAATCATACTCCAATCATGATAAATTTCATAACAAAGTAAAATGGTACATCTAAAGTAATCAAATTCCTCTGTGTATCTGTGTGTGTGTGGGGGGGGGGCACTTTCTCACTTTTACAGACTACACCACAGTTTTCAAAAGCACTTTCCCATAACTTCATTAATTTGATCTTCCAACAATCCTGAAAGGTACACAAGACAGGGATTACTTATTATTCCATTTGATAGAGCAGTAAACTGAGATACAGAAAGGCTAAATGACTTGCCAAAACCCAAAGCTCACCAGTGACAAATCCTGGAAAAATTATCCAGACTGCTGACTCTTAGGCTAGTCCTTTAAAAGAAAGTTGAGATGTGCAGTTTAAATTAGATGAAAAATGTGCATAGTTGCTAGGTGCCTAAAGCAGTTTGAACAATGCTTCTTTTTTCTCCCTCAACATCATAAAGGTTCAAGCCTATCTCACTGCTGGGAAAATGGGGCAGTCACCTGGATTACAGAGAGACTGCATCAAAAAGTTGAGTTTGAAAGTATTTACATTTGCAAAATTATATGCTGTTGGAAACCTAGTCAATATAATAGTGAACAGTTTATGACATAGAAAATATTGTAACTCTAGACCATTTATCTTTAGAAATAAATAAGAGTATGGGGCACCTGGGTGATTCAGCTAGTTGAACAACCAAAGCGGTTTTGGTTCAGGTCATGATCGGAGGGTCATGAAATCAAGTCTCACATCAGGCTCCACACACTCCAGGGAATCTGCTTGAATTCTCTCTTTTCTTCCTCCCCTACCCCAATCTACCAGCCTGCGTTCATGCATGATCTCTCTCTAAAATAATCTCTCTAAAATAAATAAATCTTTAAAAACAAACAAACAAACAAATAAATAAATAAATAAATGGAGAAGGAGGGGGAAGTTCCAAGAAAACTGACTATACGGATGAGATGAAATTGTAGCACTGATTACAAAACTTGTTCAAAGAATCGTGAATCCCTCCAAACTCCTTATGATTTTTGCTTCCTCCTTGAATCAGGTACCACAACAGGGCAACATTGCAACATCCTTTCCACTTTTAAGCTATAGTGTCAAGTTTACATCTACATCTGCTACATTTTTATAAGAAACTAACAGGCATTTGTAACCAAGAAAAATCAACATTAAAGGCAGCATTCCTGTTATTTCAAATGGCTCAAGGATTTGTTGTTCTTTTAAATTCCTCAAAGAAGCAAGTGAAGTAAATGGAGAATGTGTTGGCTTAACTTTTTACATGTGTTTCTCTCTACTTTTCGATTATTAGGCAAGCTCCTCAAGACAGAAACATATTTTTTCTTTTTCTTATATATTTTCCCCAATAGCAACAAGTGTAGTACTTGGCACCAGCCACATGGAGTTCACTGAGTGTGCTGGAGACTGGGCAGAAATTCTCAAGTCCCCCCTTCCAAGGCCAGGATAGAGAGGTGTATCAGAGTCTAGGTTTCTTCCTACTGTGATTTTGTGTAAGGAAATGAGCACTGCACTTGGTGAGAGCCACGGGGGCTAAAAGAGAGGGGAGCAGGTCTATATGAAATGCCTGTGAGAAAACACCTATCTAGAAGTTGGAGTGGGTAGTGTGGCTAAAAAGACAACTGGCCAAAGGAACATATTCATCACTGTGTTCTAACAACTTTACACATAGGTTACAGAAATAGTTGAGGAAAACGAATCTACCACACGATGGATGCAAAATATAATACACCCTTGGTTAAGCCATCATGATCACAGCCAAGTTTAGAATGAGACCATTTTCTTTTGGATAATTGGGCCTTTGCTCCCTAATACATGCCTATAAATTCCTCAAGCCACTGTTTGGTTTAGCTTACATGACCTACATATCTGTTACTTCTAAGTCAGAGTGCAATTAGATAAATTTGTTTTACATTTTGTTATTATATTTTTCTATTTGTCCCTGTTCTTGAATATATAGTAATAGCACATAGGCCCCTTTACTTTGTATTTTATATAAAATAGACTGTGTTTTATATACTTGAAACCATGTATATGACACAAATATATTTTAGAGTTAGAATCAAAATTCCTTAAAAGCAAACAAAAACTGATTCTACTAAAGGCCAGGAAAAAATGGTAAATTCGGGGTCTTGAAAATGTCACATGATGAATAATCAACCCTAAAAAACTAAGCGTATGTATATGACAATATTTGTGAATATAGTAATAGAACACTAGAATATAACAGAATACATGTATGATAGAATAGCAATATATAGACAAGTATAAATAAAGTATACACACTTTGTAGAAAAGAGCATGTTCATCCAAAAAGATTCCATCTAAGTTTACAAAGGGTAGTTTAAAAAAAAAAACAGAACTCTATATTCTGATTTAGGGATGTTAAAATAGCTTGTATCCTGTGAACTACATTTGATACTTCAAATTTATGTGAGAAAGTGTTCCCAAACATATTTTAAATGTGCATCTGTTACTGCTTATCTATGAGAGTTCAAGTACAAACTGCAGACCATCATCCAAAAACAATGAATATCTAAGACACATATGACTTCACGTGGCACACAATGAAAGAGCCAACTACGTTATCGAGAAAACATGGCCTCATGGCCGTGAGGTTCAGACCTCCTACATGGTCGACTCAGAGTTAATCCTGACACAGAATGTGCTCTCAAGAGTAGTATGGTTGTAGCAGAAATTCGCAATGTGCATTCTTAAAAAATCAGCAGGAGAAATGCATGCAGCAATCAAGTGTTTCACGTACTTTGCAAACCCAATGAAATCTTCATGATTGGTGTTGATGTAGGAGACTTGGATGTCAATCAATAATAGTACCTATAAGTCAAAGAGAAACACTTCAGTGAAAATGCATTGTAAATATTCTCAAACACAAAACTCAGTAATTGCCCACAAATTATTTATCTTCATTTAATTTTTAAAAAGGTCTTCAGTTAAAATGAAAAGTTGCATTAAGTCTTTTCATTAGACTCATAATTTTCACTCTAAATTCAGAAATTAAAAATCTACCTCAAAAGTCTGAGTCCCCCATGAAGACAATAGTATTATAGTTTATAGGCAGTTATAGTCTATGCCTATTTAACATAGAACCTAGAATTATTCTCATCTTCTAAAATGTAGGCATAATGTCCAAAAGGACATGTGTGTATCAGTGAGGAGCTGCTCAGAGCTTCCTGCTCCTGTAGACACTGTATTTTAGCCATGAAATAACAATATCACCTCTTGTTTTTCCTCTTCTCTTCTATCTCTTTAAGATCCTTCTAGGCAAGCAGAAGAAACATCTTATCAACCAACTCAAAAAGGCAATATACAAATAAATAGAAAACTTCCTTAAGATCACTAGGCTTCATTATCAAAAGCAAAACTTCATTCAGTTCTCTGCTAAGAGATCACCTCATCACCTCCTGGCCCATTCTAACAGCACTCTCTTTATATCCTATTACTCTGCCTTATTTTCCTTTGTAGCACTACCACCAGCTGACATAATAAGTATCTACCTGTTCAGTATACAGGCCCCATCTGCCATATCCACTGCTCTATCTCCAGGGCCTAGAACATCATGCACATTCAATCAAGATTTGTCAAGGAATGAACTGAATGCATGTTCCAGTAAACACGAAATATGAAAATGTTCTAATCACAAGATGCTTATAAACTCTAAATCAGAGATCTGGAAAGTCCCTCTGTAGAAAACATTCTTCAAATAGGAGATAAGAGAACTTAGAACAAGAGAGGGTGGAACAACCAACCAGAAACTGTAGAAAGAGAATTCTATTCCAGAAATATTCAAAACAGAGTTCCTCTGTTTCCTTTTGTTCTCCCAATTGTGTTCCTTCTTTCTAGAACGCTGAGACTTGTTGATAGAAAAAAATACTTAAGAATCCCTGGCCATGGGGCACCTGGGTGGCTCAGTTGGTTGAGCAGCTGCCTTTGGCTCAGTCCATGATCCTGGGGTCCTGGGATCAAACCCTATGGGCTCCCCACTCTGCCCAAGCAGGGAGTCTGCTTCCCTCTCTGTCCGCCCCTTCAACTCATGCTTGTTCTCTCTCTCTTTCAAACAAATAGAATCTTAAGAAAAAGGGGAGCACCTGGGTGGCTCTGTTGGTTAAATGTCTTCTTTGGCTCAGATCATGATCCCAGAGACCCCCGATGGAGCCCCACATCAGGCTCCCTATTCAGCAGAGAGTATGCTTCTCCCCCTGTCTCCACACCTCCCAGCCTCATTTCTCTGATTTGCTTCCCTGCAAGACTGCAAGCAAGTTTCATGGAAGCTTACTTGACCACTTTATGTCCATAATGTAGCATGATATACACAGTAGGTACCCAGTTAAGTATTTGTGGCTATAAATTTATTATTTTTACCAGCCATGAAGGAGACTTTAAAGGGAGCAATTTATTACCATATAATTATTTCATGGCCACTTATTACTGTCTTTCACTACCCAAAGCTATGAGCTCTGAGGCTTTGCTTTCATGGCTAATCTCAGCTGGTCATCTGATCAAATCTTGCTGTGAGTCCCAAGGGGACCTGACAAAAAGAATAAATGGATCACCCCAAATCCATCCCTACTACAAAACATAAAGTCAAGGTAAAGGCACTAATAGGTCAATAACATAATACTTGTATGAAAAAGTTTCATATAATAAGATACAATTTCATTTCTTCTCTTAATGAATAAAACTAAAGAGTTAGGAGGAATCATCATTATTAGATTATCTGTGGTATTGCCTCTATTCCCCCTACAATGAAGCCAGATTTTGTTAAATGTCATACTCCCAAATTCACTTGGCCAGGAGTTTGTATCAATAAACCATAATGTTTAAGCACAAATAAATTGTTGCCACCATAAAGAGCAAAATATCTACATAATTCTCAACATTGCCAAAGGCTGTCATGAATATCTTGGCCGTTCATCCACATTAACTTGGACTACAGTATAGGAAAAAAGTAGAAAAAAAATAAAAACTATGGCTGCTCTCATTCATATTCCTGGAAACTGGGAGTCTGTGTTCATCCTAGGAAAAGAGCCAGGTCGCATGTGGGGGATGAAAAGGAAAATAGTACATTTTTTTCTCATTTTTTCACTTTCTCAGAGTTTCTCACTGCCTTTTTACCCACAGTTACCGAATATTTAGTTAAAGAAAAGTAAAGCTGCCTCTGCTAGCAGTAATCACCCAGAAAGTCAGCCATTTTCACATGCAATTACATGTATGGAAACATCTGGTATAATAGGTACACACATAGATTTTTTTTAAAATGCATTTTAGAAAAAAGTTCACAGACAGGTTTATGGTTTCCCATATTTTTTAATTGTGAAGAATTTCTCCCTACAAAGCTTCTAGAACAGAGGTTAGTAATAATTTCTTTAAAATTTTTAAAAACTGAAAAAACTGCAAGAACACTTCAAGGCACTTCTAGTACAGAGGCTGGAGGAAAATGGGCCCCTCTCTGACCAGCTACTTCAGAAGCATCATATGACCCCAAGCAACACAGAGTTCAGAACTCATATGTGAGATCTACGCAAACTGATATATTCACATTATCAAGATCATGCATGTTTCTACTGTGCTGCATAGGTCTACTTATAGGCGTCAAGCACCAGCTTTTTCAAGGAGTTGACTGATTAACTGTCAGATCAGGCCATTTGAAATGGTCACATCACTTAGAAGAGAGTCACCTGCTCCATCCCCTTATCTCCCACTTGGGGGGATGAATTCATCATTACATCAGAGGGGCAGATGGAAGACAATTTCTCTGGAAATCAGAAAAAGGCAATTCTTTCTCATAAGACACTATGTGTCATAGCTCTTTAGGAAAAAAAAAGATGATAACAACTAAAATTAATGAAGAACTAAGAGCTGTATTTGGATTGTTTCATTTCATGTTCACAAAATGGCTTTGAGTTAACCATCATTGTTACCCCCACTTTAAGATGAGGAAACTGAAGTATATAAAATGTTGAGTACCTTGTTATTTACACAAAAAAGGAATGAGAGAGCTTGGATTCAAACTCAGGCAGTCCGAACTGAAACCTACAGTCTTTTTTTTTTTTTTAATTTTCTTTTCGAAACCTACAGTCTTAACGACAATGCTAAATTTGAGTATAACATTTTAGTAAAGCAAAAACTCTAAAACATGAAAATGAAGAAGTTAACAATTGCTTATAATTTATAATAATTGTACTACTTTTTCTCCAACACTGTTTTTACATTCCTAGGTGAGGAATGTAAAATGCCCTAAGAGTTAGGACATATTTTCCTTTGAATTTTATAAAGATATTAAATTAAAACAGTTATCTTACTGACTTAAAGTCAGGAGTATAGCTGATACTAGAATTTAAGTTTTCTTGGTCCAATAGCAGCTATGACATTAGATGTGTGGGGAATTTCTGGTGGCAGGATTTTATATCTGGCCCTATGCTTCATTTCATTGGCCCATGAGTTAACATTGATTTGTTTATCTCCACTAAGTCATAAAGTCTATTTTTTCCTCTTTTGGCTATTGTAGCTATCCAAGGGTGTGGAAGCTGGAAAACAAGTGCAAACTATAAATAATGTTCAATTAACTTTCAAAGCACAATGATAAAAATTAGTAGCAATGTATCCCTTAGCTCTAGCAGAGAGCAAGCTGTTACTGAGTGACAAATGTTCCAATGTACTGGGCCTCCATTCTGTCTCTTCACTTTCTGTTGCCACCCCTCCCCCACCCACCCACCCCTTCCCTTCTCTGCATGCACCCTCTGGGGCAGGTTGCCTGTGTCTCTCCCCCTGCAGTTTGTCTCACTTTTCTATTTTGCCTTTCTCCTTTTTTTCCCCCCTAGCTCCCCCTTTCAGCCTTTCCAAATCACCTAAGCAGCACAAAAATCTTGGAATTCTAACTTCTAGGGACTTCTGAGATCACACAGACCAAAAGCCCAATGTTGTACATGAGAAAACAACAGTCCTGAGAAGTGATTTTCACAAGAACATGCTGTTATTTTGTGGAGAACACATGGCCTGAGTCCAGTGTCCTCTACATGCTGTCACAGCTGTGTCCTGGAATCCAAGAGCACTTGAAAACCTTTGTGCTTCCCATTATGATGTTTTATAAATAAGAATAAAATCCACCTAAATTTAAGAAGCTTTTATTATTTTCACATAGTCCTTAGTTTTTTTCTAATGAATTATCTTTACATAAAATAATCTTTTGAATTCATGGAGCTAAATAGGATTAGAAGATAATTTTAAGGCCACTCCTTACAAGCCACATACATTTACTAAATAAAAATGTTTAAAAAAAATGTTTAAAAGCGCTGTTCTTAAACATTGTTTTCCAATCACAGGTTTCATGGATAAGCATTTCAGAAAAGAAATTGAAAACACCAAACATTCTGCAGAACATTTTAGGAATTTATGAATATCCTGATACCCATGCGTGGGCCCATTAAAAGTTAAGAACCCCTGCTCAGAGAAAAAATGTTCTATGTTTCTGAATTCTTGGTTTCAAAGTGGGGTGTATACATGCTAGGGCAAACACGATCCATGGAGCACTGAGGAAAAAGTAATGCAATTCCTATTACTGCTTTTGAAATATCATCCTTCTAAAGATTTTATACTTGTTTAACATACACAAGAGGTTAGCATAGCAACACATGTATAAAATCCATAAATAAGTAAAAATAAAAATATGTGGTTGTTTTCTCAGCTACTTTTTTCCATTCAGAGACAGGCCAACTGTTGGAGACCACCAGAAGACAGCCCTAGAGAAACCTTCTACTTCCTACCAGGACCCTGCCCACCATGGAAGCTTCCCCTCACCTGGTCTTTTGTCTTCCCTTCTCGCTCACGAATGTGGTTGGCTACAATCCTTTCAGTTTCCTCACAGAGCCTGGGGAAGTTTGCCAGCTGTTAAGAGAAACAGATCTGAGTGTTAATACTCAAAAAGTTATATTGCAAAAAAAGAAGCAGAGATGATAAATTATGTTATCTTACAGAATGTACATATCACAAATCTGGAAGCAAAAGTAAAATATACGAAAGAAGAATGGCAGAGTGACAGAAGGAGCTCTGCAAACTATAATCAAAATAACGATATTATATGATAGGAAACAACTAGTAGAGAAATTCCCTGAAGGAAAAAAAAAAAAAAAACAACAACCAGAAACCCAAATACCATCTAGTACTATGCTCTAAAAAGAGTTGGCACTTAATAAAGTTCAAAGATAAAGAAGATGGAAATGAGGATGAAAAAGAGAAAAATAACTCACATTTATAGAGTACTTACCATATTCTAGGCTGTGTGCTAAACACCTCATGAATTAGCTTATTCAAAATCCACAACAATCATAAAAGATTTTATTATTAACCCCATTTTATAGAGGAAGAAAGCAAAGCACAGAGAAGTTAAGTAACTTGCCCAAGAGTAAACAGCTCAGAATTGGTGGATTCCAATTGGATTCTAACCCAAGCTTTTAGACTCCAGAGCCGATCATCTTGTACACTAGTCTTTGAGAATGATTCATTCCATGAACCACAGAGATAATTTTTTTTTAAATTCTTTCCTAACAGATGTGTTTGTGTGTACATACTTTTTGGCAAAACTGTAGAAATAATTCATTTCAATCACTCATCCCATCTAAATTATGCCAATAATTGTCAAAAATTTAATTTGCAAAAGGGAATGCATTAATCATAGTTATTTTCAATGTAAGGAAGAAGAATGGGATGCTATGAGGAGGCTTACGGAGGCCTAACCTAGAAGGGCTTAGTCAGGTAAAGTTATATAGGAACAGTTGTGGCAGAAATGGAGCTGTCTAGCATAGAAACACGTGTGAAGGCAATGTGGAACAGAAACAATGAATGGTAAAAGAAGCAAAGGTAGATTAGAGCAGAGAGTGAGGAGGATGGTTTGATGGTTAAGCTAGAAACACAAACAGGGATCAGATCAGGGGGATCCTTGCAGGCCTGCTATGAATTTTGGCTCCTGAGGCAATTCAGATAGGAAGTGATGGCGACTGGGTCTGGGATGGCTGCAGTAGAATGGAGAGAAGGGTGCAAATTCATGACTTAGGACAGACCAAAGGTTATTTGCAATTCTTATTTAAAGCACTTACAAATTAATAACACTAATATCTCATAAAAACAGGCAAACAATATGACTTTATTAAAAAAGGAAGTTTAATGATATATAAGCAGAAGAAAAATATTAAACTGCACAAATGACCAAAGAAATGAAAAGAAAGATAATAACTATTATGTTGTCAAACTGCTTTAATTATTTCCATAAGCCTTAATGCAGATGAGGGTATCCTGAAACTAGCACAGTTTATATTTTCTGAGGAAGGGACAATGAGAATAATTTTCTGGAAAGCAATTTGGCAATATGTACCAAAAAATCTTAAAGCCATCCACTATATATGTGTTGATCTAATTATTCCACAGGATTCTGAGATAAAATAATAAGGGCATTCATCACAGCATTACTTGGAATAGCAACAATAAAACAAATGAATAAACAAAACTCTTTAAGCCACTTAAGTCTCTAACAATATTAAATAAAAGTTAAAGTAGATCCACTAATGGGATACAATTAACCATCCAAATAATATGCAATACCTAATTTTTCATTTTATCCAATTCCTAAATAATATCTAATAACATGGTAAAGTTTTTATAATACCAAGTGAAGAAAATCAAGGCACTAAATATATAATGTGATTACATTCAAGCAAACACACACATACACATAGTCACAGGCTACCATATACCTTTGATACCCTTCAAATATAGCCTGAGACCTTACAAATCTCAAAAATCTTGAGTAATATTGTAGCACCTAACATTTCTCCTAATTTTTAAGCAATTAGAACTAGGCCACCCTGAGAAAAGGCTGCTCTGTGGTCAAACAAGGTCATCGTACACATCAACTTTACAGTATACAAGATGCACATATTCTTAACTAGACAACAAACTGCAATTTTCATGGGAACAATCATAATCACAAATCACATATAAATATTAAGCCTCCTAAAGCTGCAAGTCTATTGTCTGTACACAGTAAAAGATCTACACAAAGACTACAAAATCTTCATAGGCATAACCTCTTTGAATGATGGGATTATACATAATTTCCAATTTTTCTACATATGTCTCTATATTCTCCAAATTTTTCTACAGTGACCATAGAGGGCTTGTATAACATCATAATAAAAGCACAGAGACTTGGCTGCCTTAATTACCCCCAAAATCACAGTCCAGTGCCTCTCCATGAGATCACCAAACCATTGCCCCGTTACTGAGACACGTAGCTAAATTCTGAGATGTATGCTCATTTGAGAGCTTATTTCATGAATAACTGTAGGATACAAATGGAGCTTCTACTCAAGTTTTGGAAGCATTCTCCAGGAAAAGTTCTACCATCCCAGAAGTCCATTCATACTCTGAGAATAGTGTAAGTAATTTTTTGTGAGGCCTGTAAAAGCATTTTCAGTATAGAAGAGATAGCTGATCAAAACAAATCATTCTTTTTGATTAGGGCAAACCTGAGTGGTATATCTGACCCAAATCACTATCCTGCCCTGAGCTACCAGACCAATTGTTTTTCCTCTGCACTCAGGGCATCCCCAGCTAACAGTGCACCCATGCTTTTTGATAATAGCCACACAAGTACAGAGTCATACTCTTGCAGAAAAGTGACTGCCCAAGTAATAGTGGTCTACTAAGCAGGAGACACATGCCTTCAACAGCGTTTAGAAAATAGATGATAGCAGAAAGTTATTTTTACAACACTGAAGAGTGGCACTATAAATATTTATTCAGAAACAAAGTACTTGACAGCTGAAGGACCCCAGGCTAGTGTGCAGCTATCATTAAGTTAGAGAAAGGCCAAAGTGGCAAGAGGATCCCAAGAATCAGAATCATCCAAGAACCTTCCCATCTCCTGGCCTTGGCAGAGGGTTGATGTTCTGTATGTGTGTGTGTGTCTCCTGACCTTTCCAAGCTTACTGCCCAAGGGCTTAGTTTCACCAGGAAAGGAGCCCACCACAGGCATAACTTAGTACCTACAATTGAGACAACTGGAAAGTAAATGAGCCTAAATTCTAACTGGAACAAAAGGAAAAAGAACACACTGGAACAACCACCCTTATGGAGGCAAAGGAGGAGAAATACTGAAGGGGACACTAGCAGTGCAGGATGTAGGCACTGCTGAAAGGCAGTTATGCAGCTGCTACAGTTTCTATCTAGCTGGTTGATCTGGAAAGACTGTAGACCTTTAAGAATCAAAATGTTAGCTTGAATTGCTGGCTCTCAAATGTAACACTTCAGACCCCATTCTTCTCATAATATATATGAGGAAGGTAAATGTCCCGCTCACATTCTGAATAATCTCTGATCAGGCTTCCTGCCACTCATTTCATTAGCTTAGTCAATGGGAATTCCTGCTCAGTTTGCAGAACCCTTTTCTTTGTTGCTGTTGTTTGCTTGTTTTTTTTTTTTTTAAATACTTGACTTTGATCACTCAGTTCAATTCCTCACCTCTCTTCCTTGTCATTATTTAAGGCACAATCAGTTTCCTCAACCATTTTTAACCATTAGAGTTTGCAATCTCTTTTGTCCTTAACACCGAGTTGAAAGGCTACAGTTGTAAGAATATATTTACTTTGTCAAAATCATCAAAGTTGTAATCATGTATGCCAAAATAATATTGATTTAGAAGACATCATCTTTAGACATTTATTCCCCTATTAACTATTTAAATATTCTAGAAATTGATTTATACAGAATCAAGGAATTAAGACTTTGCTATTGGTTATATTAATTCTATATTCCTAAATTCATTTCAAGGCAGTCACTCATTGGGCAACTGCCATAAGCCAGCTTGATGCTCAGTTTTTGTCAAACTACCTGAAATTAAAAACCAGTCTTAGTGGCAGGTTGACTTTACAGATACTGTCATACTGGAGAGAAATATTTTATAATAATCAAGGGAAAACACACAAAAAAGTGGCTAAACCTACTCTGAGCAGGTCTCAGAAGATTTGATGCTTAAATCATAACAGTGAAGCTTCCAGACAGAGCTGAGCATCGATCAAATGACAAATTACTTCTAAACAGTTTCTTGTTAGGGCACCTGGGTGGCTCAGTGGTTGAGCATCTGCCTTTGGCTCAGGTTGCGATCCCAGGGTCCTGGGATCGAGTCTTGCATTAGGCTCCCCACGGGGAGCCTGCTTCTTCCTCTGCCTATGTCTCTGCCTTTCTGTGTCTCTGATGAATAAACACATTTTTAAAAAAATAAATAAAATATACAGTTTATTGTTAAAATCACACTGAATACTCTTAAGGAATATTCAATGTAGAAAGAATGCAATATATATGATGTTAGAAAGCAAAACTTTAAATATATAATTCTGAGAGAAGATTTTTTTTATTTTTATTTTTTGAGAGAAGATTTTAATTATGGTCTGAGAGAAAGAGTATTAGGTATTTTTTAAATACAAAACATGTATTAACAAAATCCAATATTTTAAGTGTTATTTAGGGTAGTGTTTAATTCTATTGGTGGCACCTCAATATAAAAATTTACTTTCAAGCATAGGTCACATTTTTTCCTAGCGGAAAAATATCACTTGAATGGTCTTTCTATCCAGTAAAACAAAAATTATACACTTATAAAAGTTACTAACCATTGATTAATCAGACCAAGAGAGCCATGCTATTACGTCTCTCTTGGAACAAACACAAGATGAGGAAAGATTTCCACACCTTCAAGACTAACTAGTTCACTGCCTTAAGCAAAGAGTCAGGTTATTAGGTACCATCTGTTCATAGTTCCATACTAAACATAAATCAAAAAAATAAACCAAAGATCAGAACAAAATTTTTTTATGCACATGACTTGAGTTGAT